ATATTTGAAAGTTTGGTTATAGTTGTCAACATGAAACACTGATAAGTTGCAGAATTTGTAATACTTCTTCACAAATGATACAGTAATAATGACCAGACAGGAATAAATAGCAGTTTGTCTTTGCCTTCAGGCCCATCATCCTTACCCATAAGAGTAAATCTTTCCTCACTGTACAAAAGGGTTCACAAGATAAAGTATGAAACAAATATTTAAATTAAATAATTTACATATTTTTCTTAAAGCACCTCTGTGATATAATTTAGTGAAAGTTTGTATCTTGCAATTATATTCTTGTATTTTACAAATCAAAACACGAAGAAATGGTATTACATTAAATTAAAAAAATCCCACAACATGTAACAATATCAATAATCTTAGATCAAACCCACATATAATTTAAATCTCTAGTAAAAGAAGGATAATAAAGCTGATCAAACCTAGATTAAAAAAAACCCCACAAACTATATGCAACTGCTTATCAAGAAAGCACTTGAGATATAGGCAAGCACCAGATATCACACTACACCTTACATTTCAACACTTACTAAAGGATCAGGGTTTTCAGGGAAGGACCATTGTTTGTAGGACCTTACGCTTAAGCAATATCAAACTAGCTGCAAATGCATTTGTTAAATGTAGTTGCAGATTTTCAACTAAGCAACAGGGATGCTTTTAAGGAAGGAGAGACAGAGCTGAAATTGTTCCTCTTCAGACACAGTACAGGCAGCTACAGTGTAATCTTCAACTGCTTACTAGAAATAATGAGGAAATTCAAATTTAATAGTATGTGACCCAGCTCTCGTGATGAATAAATCTCCCGAGTTTTAGCAGTTTGAATAAACAAACAAATGTTTAGATGCTTATTATAAGCTCTTTGATTTGCAAACTTGTGCTAGCTCTCTCATGAGAACGGACTTAGTGCAACTGCTGGTATTTCCTAAATCTGTGCGGGCCAGAAATAATGCAAAAATATGCTCTTTGGCAACACTTCAGCTTTCTAGCAGCTGGCTAGAACCAAAGCACAAAGGCACATGGAAATGGCGATTAAATAAAAAAAAGAAAATGTCTTCAAAGGCAAAGAAAGATTCCATTTCTGTGAGTGGAAAACATTCCTATCTCTTGTCTGTCAATTTGTGTTTAAAATAAAAGTGGGATTCTGAAATTGAAAAAGGTACAGAATAACTGATTTTTTTTTTTTTTTTTTAATGCCAGTTGTGTGCTGTTACAATGAAGACAGTACACCTTTAAAGGAAATATTTAAGAAGGGGATAAAAATGAACATCAGATTTCCCTAACACTTCACACAAAACATTCCTTTTTTTTTTCTTCCCCTTTGTCAAAGCACCGAGGGCATCCTAATAAATAAATAAAAAGACTCCAAACAACCCTCAAAAATTAGTAAGTTTGTTGAAAACTTAAGTCATACCATTATTTCCTAGTATTTTTCTCTGTCCATCTGTTGTCTCTTGTCATAAGCTGTTTGTGGGTACCTGGTTGCTAACTGGAGTTCTTCAGTGCTATGACAGTAAAATAATTTATGCTGATAAGACTTGGATCAAAACTATACCTAACAAGCCAGTAAATCCTTAATAAATTTTTAATCCTAAAATCTGATCATTTTATTTCCCCTCATAGAATGGATATTTTAAAATATCAGATGATCTGTACAAGGTGGAGATGCTGAAGGCTCCTCACTAATGGACCTCAAACTAGTTCAGATTCCAAACTTAAAAAAAAAACCCAAATGAACAAACAAAAAAAACCATAAATTGAATCATTTTGAAATCTAATTGGCAAAAATCTGCAGCATTCACCAACAGAAACAGCAATGTACTCCGTTAAAAGTGTAATGTAGAAATTAAGAACTTAATTTGCCTATTAACACTGGGGAAGTGAATTGTCTGCCCTGTGTCATTCTTTGACGAGACTGTGGGTGTGTGCACAGTGCAGCAGTGTGGGCACGTTAACATCTTGTTCATATTTCTGTAATTCAGAGATGCGTTCTTTCCATTTTTTTTTTTCATTAAAAGTTTGAAGTTTAAAACAGAAATCAAACTTCAGTGTCCAAGAAACTAGTCAAAAAAATGCTTGCTGGCTTTCAAATAACAAAATAAAAATGGATCTGGAACTGGAAAAATGCAAATTATGCACTTTCCTAATGCCAATAATAGGAACCTGTTACAAGCAGCTGCTAATATAGCTAAACGTTATGCCTTCCACTAATTACGCTGTTTTCAATTCCTTATAGATTTGCTGAGAATTTAAATATTTATTATTAAATTTGCCATGTTTTTTAAAAGTTTCAGTAAAGTGTTTTAGCCATTTTTGAGAACAAGAGCAGGAAAAATAGTTTTTGTCCACACCGACTATGTCTGATTTTCCTGAGAAACTTCAGTACACTCAAACTATGGAACACAACTTTTTGAAATTTGCCCTTTGCAAAAAATCTGAGTTCTGGGGGGAAAAAACCAAACCATCAGCTTATACTTTTTTGAGAAGATAAACTTAAAACAGTTGGCTATTAGAGTTTCAGTATGCCATCACAGAATGGCTGATATTTTGAACATTTTTTTGAGTAAGCAATATTACATACCAATTATTTCAATGCTCAATGTCTTATGCTTAAACCCCACCGTTCCTTAGTGAAACACGGCTGACTGGAAGAATAAAGCAGCATCATTGCTAAAATCCTCTTGTTATTTCTGAGGGCATGCTACGTACTGTTGTAAGACACAAAAGACAACCCATTCCACATCTGCCGTTTCCTGTTAAGACCAACAATCTTCTCTTACTGAAGTGTTAGGAGTAGCTGTAACATAAGGCCTATTCTTCCTGTTGCTGACTGGTGACAGGGAAGGGGAGAAAGTTTTGCGCACTTGCATTTACTGTTTCTATCCTGCCCTAGATGGTCACCAAATTTGAGGCCTATGCTTCAGTATTTTACACTAAATATATCTGACGCTAAACCATCGCCTGGATAAATACCAGATTGCTTTTTAACCTGTGATTTATCCAGTGCCTAGCCATGCCAGCGGGTCTGTAAAGAAACAAGCTTGTGGCTAAAATAAGAATCATAGTGTGATGTTCTCACTTTATCGATCTTACGTAATTCTTGCAGTGAAGGTTTAAGATTCTGATGTCTTCAAACACGCTACAATAAAACAAGTACAAAGTGTCCGCCTGTGCCACTGAAAGCTTGACTGTTGTGAAAATGCTAAGATTGGTTCCTGAGATCTTTCTGTTATGAAACAAATATTAAAATAAGGAAATAATAATGTGAAGTTACCATATTAAAACAAAAAAACAAACAAACAAAAAGACCAAAAGAAAAAGAAATAGCACAGTGTCTTGCATGCAGCTAGCACTTTTGTGTAGTACTCTCTGATAAAGGACCTTGTAAAATAACAAAGTCAAGCGGTTTCCTTATGGCTTATTTTGCATGAGGAATAAGTACTACTGTAAAATCAGAGTTTGCTCTCAGGAACATGATAAACTTACTCTCAACTGTGCTCGCTTTCATAATATTACACAATCGACGCCTACAAACACTGTTCTTGGTAATACCATCACCTTATCCACTATGGCTGTATGGACAAGGACAAAATTTGGTGAAATAATCTAGCTAATACTTCTATCAACAAGGTCTAAGAAGTAATAGAAAGAATGTGGATAATTGGAAAACAACGAAACAGTCTACTCATCAGAAAAGTAAACAGGTCCAAACAACTCTATACTGCCAAGATACTCGTCAAGAAAGAAGGTGCCTTTCCTATACAATCATTTCGTCAGAATAAGCTGTCACTGCACTAGAATGCTGCGCAGCTGAAATTCTTTTTACTGGGGTAGGATCAGATTTTTCAGTCTCTCCAAAACTCTTGCTGATTCCAAATAGTATTTTTTAAGTTAAAACCCCATCTTGAGCTATTACAAGTTCTCCAAAATACACATGGTATGATACAGTTTTCCTCAGGGACATTTACTTATTTCCTTAAAACACTTTTCAAAAAAGAGTTCCATTGCTTTATCACATTTACTCTTAAAGAAACACCTGAATGGAGCTTTTCTGCTCTATTTTAGATAACTCTTCAGATTTTATTTCATTTCATAAAAGAACCATCTTTTAAACATGCTAATCCTAAGGTATACCAATGCAGCAGCAGATCAAAGGTCTTTCAAATATTTTGTAAGTGTATGTACACTAATATCCAGCCATTTGATACACCGAGACTGACTGCTGTAAGAAAGAGTATTAGTTGGTTTTCAGTGATTACGATTAGCCAAAAGTGCATAATCTCTATGATTGTGCATATATGTGGAGAGAATTTGCTGAATTTGTTACATTAATTCCAAAATTACTAAGCCAAGAGGAAATACAATTTTGTTCATTTCTGTTACTTAACATTCGGATTTATGTATTCCTTACCATCTTCAAATTTCCAAATAAAAGAACCATTGTAAGTGTCCTGGTTTTGGCTGGGATAGTTATTTTCTTCCTAGCAGCTGGTATAGTGCTGTGTTTTGGATTTAGGATGAGAACAATGTTGATAGCAACAACTAAAACATCAGCGTGTTAAGTAGTGCTTACACTAAGTCAAGGACATTTCCGCTTCTCATGCTCCACCACTGAGGAGGCTGGAGATGCACAAGGAGCTGGGAGGGGACACAGCCAGGACAGCTGACCCCAACTGACCAAAGGGATATTCCATACCATATGACGTCATGCTCAGCATATAACTGGGGCAGTTGGCTGGGTGGGGCATTGCTGTTAGGGGACAGGCTGGGCATTGGGCAGCAGGTGGTGAGCAATTGCATTGTGTATCACCTGTCTTGTATATTCTATTATTATTTCCTCTTTCTTTGCTGTCCTATTAAATTGTCTTTATCTCAACCCAGGAGTTTTATTTTCCTTGATTCTCTCCCCCATCCCACTGGGATGGTGCAGGGAGCGTGAGCAAAGGGCTGTGTGGTGTTTAGCTGCCTGCCAGGTTAAACCACAACAGTAAGACACTTCATGAGCACTATGATCAGTATTTTTCTGCAGAACTCTTTCAAAAGAAGACAAAAGATCCCAAACCAAAAGAAGTGTAACAGTCCAGTTACCTAGTTTTTTGATTTTTCATGCTCTGGACTGAATGAACAGCAGATAACTGTGCAAGTAGTTTTGCTCCCACGTCTTATTAGTATTGCTCTTGTCTTTAAATATTGTGGAAAAACCACTAAAAATCCTTAATACATATCCCTGTAGATTTCCTGTAGTAAAGGGTGTAAATGTGCATCAGATTCAGTCTTCTTAATTATCTGAACAAGTTGAGCATGCTCTGTGACAAGTTGTCGGAGGTCAGCCATTTTTTGGAGAAGTTTCGGGAAGAGGAAGATGTCATCAGGATGGTTGGTTTGCAAGTGAAGTTTCAGTACGTGCACAATGCTCTCCTGCATTTTTTCAATGTGTCCTACATTTACAAGACCAGGACGATCTGTTCTCAAAACAAACAAAAGAATACATGTCATAATTTTATAATTATTCTTTAAAGTAAGCTACGTTAGAGATCCTATATTGTAGGCTACTGTGTATATTCACATTATACACTGAGCGCAGTAAGGCTCAAAATGGATCTTTAAAAAAAAAAGAAAATAAGGAAAAAAAAAAAAGAATAAAGTAGTCTTCCTTATCCCTTTGGCCAAAGTTTTTTCAAAGCCCACAGTCATCGAGGAGAGATTTCATACTACTGTATACAACCTGTGCTACAAAACAAAAAAAACGCACCATCCTCTCACCCCCCAAAACCAGCAGAAGCATCCAGCCTAGAAATCCAGTTCTATATTCTGTATGTTCTGATAACAGAATTCAAACAGTAAGGATGGAAAAAAAAAAGCATGGCTACCTGTAGAGAGTTCTTGAATTTTGGTGGCAAGACATAAGTAACAGGCTTTCATTTTTGGTTCCCATATGTATATTACCACAAGTTATTGACAGGATGTAGGGAAGCACCTATTAAAGATGTTTCATACTTTCTAGTAGATGATCCCATTTTCAGTTACCTACAGTCCTGTAATACCTGCTGTCTCCAGATCAAACTTCTCTGTAAGAAGTCTGGGAAAACAGACTAAATATGTTTCTTGAAAACTTAAGCTAGTTCCAAGGAGAAGGATAGAGGGAAAACCAAAATGAACAAAAAAAAAAAACCCCAAAACCCCCAACATTTTGCCTGCAACTCTCTTGACTCTCTTGACTTTGAAAACATCAAAATACCAATGTATTGTGCAAAAGCAATTCAAGATTTGATGGGAACTTGCTGTCTAAACTAGCACACAAAGCTTTTGTAAGTCTACAGATTGTATCTCTGCTCTTGTAATTGCTGAGGATGCAACCAGGGCAGTGAAACATTCTGAGTGTGGCAGAACACAGAAAAGGCTGACAGGAGCAGTTGTTGGAGCTTTCTTGACCTTTTATTTCCCTTTTCAAAATGCTTATGGATAGCTTTGAATTTAACCTTAAATATGAATGTCCTCACTTTCTGGAGGAAAGAAAGGATTACATTTGTGTTCCTTCACTCACAAAGAGTTCAAACAACAGGCATTTGAAAAAAAACAACAAACAAACCACAAAACCCAAACCCCATATCCTTAGGTACTGTAATTTAAAAAAATACCTTCATCTAGTTTTTTTTAATTAGCTGAGTACTCTGGTTTGTTGTTTTTTTTAAATAGCCTGTGATATTAAAATCAGAACACAGGAAGTGCATCAGAGCTGTGCATTTGTATAGAACTCATTACACGCTGCAATCAGCAAGTGTCAAAGATGAGCAAAGCACTCTGCACCTGCCTCCAGTCTCATCACATAGTATTTTTCGGCCCATCTGGCAGATGCAAATGTTGTTTCCAATCCAGCCTTAAAGATAAAAAAAAAAACCCTATTCCTGCAAGCCCCAAACAAAAAGCCCCACCAACACTCTTCACATCCCACTTTTAAAAACAGAGTAACTAGACCCCTCTAAGTGAGGCTAAACAATAATTCCAAGTATGTCTACAATTCTGCAAAGCAAAATACAGGATCAAGACTGTTAACGGTTACACAGTATCTTCCATGAAACATGCTAAAAGGGAAAATGACACTGTTAGTGGTAGAATTGGATCGTCAAGAAATATGTAAGCTTTTCCATTAAAATTATTAATTCACAACAAGGAAATGTTAAAATTTACTACCTTAAAGAACATATACACAGTTCTTACCTCCACAGCAAATGATGGCAGCAACAAAAAGGGATATATCGCTATCATCCAATTCTAGTGCATTGAATTTCATTGCAAAATCAAATTTTGGCTCCATTATATCACAGAATGGCTTTCTCAGGCTTTTCAGGAACTCCCGAGTTATAAAACCATTTCCATAGGCTACCAGCATCCCGTCCTTGTTCATCACAGATGCTAACATGGCAAATATGGCTTCATAAACTCCGTACTTTAACAGTGTCACTTGATCATTCAAGTCAAGATTGGAGAAGCCAGGGATAGATTTGGCAAATTCAGTAAGTTCTGTGACAGTCTCTACAGACGTACACTGGCAGCAGTGGAAGATCCGAACTTCCGCTTCCTTGTTCTGAATTCCATTGGCTACCAACTTTGCCACCAGGGTCTTCTCTGCCATACACAAGGTATCCATATCATGTATAACAAATGGCTACAGAGAAAAAAAATACTAATTCAGTTACTAAAATAATGGTTATTAATCATTTGTTTCCTAAAAAATAGGAATTTTGATAAACTTTTATGCTAGTCAGTCTTCAACTCTCAATAAACCATGAGTTCTTTCCTATTTCTGCATAAAGAGAAACCACATATTACAGATCCACAAACTGCAGTATCTAAGAAAGTCTGCTCTGCAAACAACAATGCAAATAGGAAAATGTAAATATGTAGGACATATCTTTAATCTAGTTTTATGTAGTAGTTATAGTGAAGACCCAGAAGTACTGTCCTTAGTATGCATATATCCATCTCCGAGCAAGTCCCAGAAGGTTCACAAAGCACTTGTATTACCTTCTCCAGAAGTCCAGGTTATTCTGCCTACACTCCTATCGATTCCTAAACTAACTACACTTGATGCACATCATGATGCTTTCCTGAAGTATCCTAGGGGGAATACAGACAATCATTTAAATATAGGACAGCATATTTGCACGAGAATGTGAACCCTGTACTACTCTTGTGTTTTATTATCCAATTTTCATAGACTATGTCCCTGCTGATCTTCCACAGAAATTCAGCTCATCTTTCTAGCTACAGTTAGTGCTAAGTCATCTCTAAACCCAGAATCCCACTAGAATGTCAGACAACACAAAATTTCAGTCTTGATCATGGTCTTTTTCATAACCCTCTTAGTTTAAAAAGGTATGTGCATTACAAACTGATGAGCCAGTCTCTTAAAACATCATATATATTAAAAAAAAAAAAAAGAAAAACCATTCAGAATTTCTTAGGAACAATCAGAACTCAAAAACATTTTGATACATATCTGAAGAGCAGTAATCGAAACAGAGGACAATCCACTAAAGAAAAACAACAATACCTAACGTTTTCCAGCCTACCAAAGTCATGGCAATTGACCGTGAACATAAATCTAGTTCCATAAACACTAAGCAAAGCACCTTCCCTGTGCTGTTTTGCTCATCTCAGATTAAATATTATGAGAAACACTTGGTGTTCGGTTGGAAACTCAGAGAATACACTTAGTTCACTTAGAAAACTGTCAAGCACACTAGTTTCCTACAGTTGTCCACTTTTACGATGCTTATGGCAACTACTCATTCCATCTCACTTCAGCACTTAAAGTTATACAGAATGGAACTTTCTACGTGCATGTGGGTATGAGCGGAAAGTGGCAAAGCAATAAACCCACCACACTTCTAAAGCATTTAAAAGATGTAAACTATCTTGTACATCTTTTTGGAATTTATCATCATTTCACTACGCAGAAAATAGGTATGGCCAAGAACTTAGGAGCTAAATTTAAAAATTATACACTGTCATCATGAAAATGCTAGTTCACTCTGAAATGAATTACAGTGGTGCCAAGAATTAGGATTCCCTGAAATCGGCTGTTAATGCACTGTTCAGAAACAGGTGGATTACTCATTACCAACAACAAACCCCTCGAGTTTGGGGGGGGGGGGGTTCCTGTTAAAAAGACAAAAGAAAATTAAAATGTCTATTTTCCTAAGAGATGATGAAATATCTTAAAAAACCTCTGCTCTTCTGTGCATATTGAAGAATGAGGAAACACCCTGTTTATAATATACTAGGTCTGATTCTTCATTCATTTTTACTTGTAAATTCACCAAGACACGTGCAAGCCACTATTAGCTAATCAATCAGATGACTATAATCTGAGAGCCTTAAATGCAAACACATGAGAGCATAAATGCAAACACAAAAATTAGGATGCAGTGATCTAGAATCCCTGCATGTAGGATTCTGACATGTGGTAACAAGCTTGAAAAGGACTTTATGCAGATATGTACTTGGTAAAGTGTTGAAGCAGGCTATTTACTGTAGGCTTATGTCAGTCTGTACCCCCCCAAAAAAATTTAAGCCTGGGCTTAATTTTAAGCATCTCTTTAATCCAGTGAAAAAGTCTGGGATTATTCAGCTGTCTTTTAATGTACAAGCCTGTATGCTTAGCTAGACTAGGCTATAATACGCCAAATTCCATAATTTAGAAGCCAGCTTGCTTGCAGTTTTTATAACACTCATCCCCACAGTTACATGGGTTTTATAATGGCATATGTAAAACCTCTTCCCTGCAAATTTTTACTGAAACTAAAATTGTTGGTAAAATAAGATACTTATCTTCTACATATAATTAACATAAATCACAACAGAGTTTTTTAAAAAAATTGCATAAAGTGAAACAAGTCAGTCCTTACAATGGTTATACAATCTCATATGCTACGAAACAAAAAGCAGTTGATAGCATTAGGTAGACCTTGGCTACATTATCCTCAACAAAAAATAACCTCTACAGCATATGTGTCTTCACAACCTTGTTTGCTTCTCCCTTTCAAAGTAACCATATAGTAAAAACCAGGAAGGCCAGGTGAGGAAAAGGCCAGAACTGTAAACAAAGAATTACAAACTCAAGTTTCCTATCCCCTCCAGCCATTAATATTGTTGTGATTAAAACTAAAGTCATACAGAGCTCCTGTACACCCTAGAAGATAATAGTATTTATCCTGGCATTTATGGCAGAAAAACATTATCTTTTGTTTCCCCACTGTCTTAATAGGAAATTAATTTTGAACCATTTCCCCCACCCATACCAAGAAGTATTCACATTCAGATGTCACTTTTTTTTTATTAAGAACTAATTTTCTTTCCTTTGTGTGTCTACTATAATTTAAAGTTATGAGCTTCCATTTACAAGTTAATCACCTGATTTTCCTAAAGCTTCCTGTTATTCTGATAGTGGGTAAAAGCAACCATATTTACTACAGGTATTCTTTTTGCATATTTCATGCCTGTATTAGCATGATATTTATTTTCTAAAAGATTTGCTTAAGAGTTTAACAAATTATTATAATCACCTTATGTACTTGCCAGCTTTACTTTAAAGTTACAGCAAAAGTACTTACTGGATTGTTATTAGTTTTCCCTGCAAGGATGATTCTGGCTTTAACCTTGTTCATATTGAAGTTTTTCAGGTAAGCGTCATGAATTCTTTTGGCAAGTGATTTAAGATCTGCCATTTCAGAATCTTCTACATAATTTTCACCTGTTAGAATTTCTGCTTTCAACTTGGCCTTCTCAGACCTTGGCATTCGTCCAAAACGTATTGCTGATGGGAAGACATAATTGTAAGACAAATATAAGTTATACAAAAACCTATGCCTTTTACAGTTGCTAATAGGAGCAGGAAGACATTCTGTCTACAAAAACTGAGGGAGAGGTAGCATCTTTATTATGATAAATTTACGAGTGAAAAAATCTCGTGCTTTCCAACTTAGTCAGTGACTAATTATCAAGACACAATGCTAAACTGAAGGTAATCAGATGTTTCAAAACATAAACTGGTACCTACAATGGGCTAGAATGCACGCCTTTTTCCTTGTACATTACCTAAGCATTTGTATTTTGTTTTCTCATTATTGTGTTCTACAACTCCCAACGTGAAACTCAAAGTCCACCTTGGGAATTCTAAAAAAACTGTGTAAACTCGTGTCAGCAGCTTGGCAGAGAGCACACACACCAGCTGGAGAGCTCTCTGGGGAGTTACTCCACAGGGAATGCTGCAACAGAGTTGGGCCCGAATCCCATTGCTGATTCTGAACCTGCTGGGGCATTCAGTACTTTATGTGCTGAATGTTCAGTTCAACATATTTGTACTGTTTAGGGAGAACAAAACAGATCGGAGACCTGGATTTATGCTCAAAGGCTATAGTCAACAAAACTTCTTCCTAGACCCAGCATCTAATGCTGCTTTTTTTCCCCAATAGATTAGCCCTTAAAGACTGGAGAGGATGAGAATAGAGTTTGAGAATCCAATCTAGTCACTAGGATATTCTTTTGAGATGCAGAAGATGCAAGTTTGAAACACCACTAGGTACAGAGATCTCCTAGTTCTTGGGCAAGTGGTCTTGCCATTTAGCAATAAAATAGGCAAGTCCACACTCTTCTTCAGTTTCAGCTGAAAAGTAAACCAGCTCCATCTTAAAAAGGGCCTTACTGTCTGATGGTATGCAAGGTTTTTGAGATGGCTAACATAGCTGGTTACTCTTACCACATTTCAGCATCTAACCAGTGAGAGGACAGAACCTCACTACTTAGACTGAGCAATTCAGAGCATGTGCAGAATTAGCCCTTCAACATGCCCAAGGAATTTTTTCATGACATAAGGAGGTGACTCATGACATAAGGACGTGACTCTAGGTATGATAGGAAATTGGATTTCAATGGAAGTCCAACATGGAAAGCCTGTTTGAAATCTGACCACGGGTCTACTGGAAAAGTGGAAGAATATCTGCTCTGAACTGAAACTTAACAGTTTTAAGGTCATGGTTGTAAATCTAGTTCTAGGTCTTTTCCTGAGAAGCATTGCCTGCAAGTTAGTGGTCACCTCCTTTCCCCACTGCCTCCCATGTGTTTGCTGCAGTAAAACTGCTACTACTCCCTTCAGCTGGAGCACAGGTGCCCACAGCATTTTAGTAGGATGAAACAGCTTCAACTGAATGTTAATTCCTGCCAACCAGCACAGCTCCCTGCTCAACTCCTCCCCCTGAGATGTTACTTGGTTGGCTGACACACTCTTCCCAAGTCTGCTGCTTCAGGATGGTTATCACCAGTCTTGCAGAGACTATCAGCCCTCTCCCAAAGGACCTTAATCTCAGTCAAGGCTCACCACAAGGGACCCAGACTTCCCCAGAACCAGAAAGTCAACTCTCCCAATGTGTCTTGCTAGGACTCTACACTATAATGTCATAGGCAGCTTCCCTGACCACATCCCCACCCCAGCTATCTGGACTGCATAGTTTCCTTAGGAAGTTTGTCTCCTAACCCACAGCTTTTCACCTACTTTTCACCTACTCCCAAGTTCAGCCTTGACACTATCAGACCTACGTAGGTAAAGCAAACTACTGTCATCTGGCCAACAAAAATGTGCTTTCTCATGGCTTGGCCTCTCCCTCTTTACCAAAGTTGCTCAGCAAGCTACATACTGTGCATAAAACTGCCTTGTGGGTTGAAACTGGCCTGTAAGCCGCAGGCTTACCAGCCTTATCTTCAATCATTAACACAAACAATAACATAATTTTTAAACTGGATATCCAAATGTGCTGAATTTTTACCCTTCCATTTAACAAGCAACCTACCAGATTCCTGTTCCACAGTCAGCACAGATCTTTGCCCTCCCCCCCCTACTCCCTAAACCATCTGCCCAAGAGCTGTTGCACTGTAACCTGAAAAATAACAAAGTCTTCCTACAGATTTCTATCCTATGTTATTCCCTCCCACAATGAGCTAGTTGTTCTCCTCCTCCTCCTCTACAATGCCCTTGATCAGAATTCTTCCAGTATTGAAATTTGTTTCAATGAGAGTAAAGGTGCCAAAGTTCTGGGTGAAAAAAGCAACTAAATGAACATTAATGTGGACAGACAGACATCCAGCACAACTGGGTAAAGCTTGTAACAGTACATTTGGCAGCTGTGTATCAATTACATTAATTACTAATTACATTAGGGAAACTGGTGTCCCCTACCACAATCTGTACTGTAAAAATCTGAGGTTTAACTCATATGTAATAAGTAAAAATGTTATCCAAGCGCCTGCTTCCAGAAGCAGGCTCTGGGTAGGAACAAACAAATTAAGAGCACTCTTACCTACCATTATGTGACATTCCAACTGAAAGGCACTTTTGAAAACGACAGTATTGGCACTTATTACGATTTTTTTTCTGAATTTTGCAGTTGCGATCACATTTATCATAGATGAGTTTTAAACGAATTGTTCTTCTAAAAAAACCCTATAAAAAGGTTGAGAAAACAATATACAATGTTAAAGAATGTTGACTACTAAACAAATTTCAGTTATACAGGTACATTTTTTTTCTTTTATTGTTTACTGATATCACTAGCAAAACAATATGCAAAGTATAACCTGTCCAAAGAATCTATGCAGTGAAGTGGTGTGTATGAAGGCATACATAGAATGGAAAACATGAAAGGAGAGAGTAGCTCTCAGCTCTCTTTCTTGGGAGAGGCCCAAGAGCCCAGAGTACCCGAGCAGATTTGCACTTAAGAATTAAGCAAAACAGTCACATATTGCTTTTGTACACATTCTCTCAGCATCCTCTGTCAGAAATAACCTTCATCTTTCATATGTGTAAGCCACACAAATACAGAGATTTAAGACATCTTTTCTTCATTCAGCAAATGTGAGGGGTATGACAACACAGCACAGTATATAGAAAAAGCCAAGGACACAAAAATGAGCATTAAAGAAAAGCCTGTAACTCAACAGATCTTACCATGATGTCTTGATACTGCAATGTAAGGTTAGTCTCATACTTCAAAAGCATAGGGTTACCAAATTTAAGGACATTGCAACATTTTGCTTCACGTGACACAAGAACATGTCATTTAGACTGTGGGACACAACTGACCATGAACTGGCTCCCCATCTCTAATAAATATTCTAGCATTATTCCATAAGATTTAAATTTGAATTATCATATTCTGACACTGTGCATGAAAGAAAAATGTACACAGATACAATTATTTCTCTCACCTTACATTATAATTTAGGAAAAAAAAAAAAAAAGGAACACTACAACATTAGAAGGAAAAAGAAAAGAATCTTCTAATTCATGGGCCACATCATCCCAAAAGTTACACACTCATGATAACATTCGTTTGTCCCAGAGACATGCAGTGGCCCCAAAACAACAACAGGTACAATACTCAGTGATTCAAGCAGAATGTGGTGGAGATGAGAAATTCAGGAGTTGTTACTGTTATAATGGAAACGTAGCAAACTAGCATGCTTCTCACAGCTATACTCCCAACACAAATAAAACACTAGTGGAGCAAGAAAGCTTTGATTTTTGGTCACTGTTTAGTGTTTTAAGTTGTTTTAGTGTTTAACTAGCTATATCCAGAAAAGCAGCATTAAAGTTGTAATTGTGAATTGCCCCTGCTTGATGAAGGTCTGGTATTAAGTTATGGTATCCAGTTACAGGATCTGAACAATTTATTTCAGAAGAGAGATCACAAATATGTTTATTATTTGAGTAACTGTAATGGCTAGAATTATATTAATTAAATATTTATGTAACAAATGTTTATCTTCATATAACCCTGTAAATAAAGCAACATGATTTAGGTTCTTAAAAAGAAAATTATGACTGTACCTTACAACCTTCACAAGCATGTACTCCGTAATGGTAGCCTGAGGCTTTATCCCCACAAATTCTACATTCAATGTTTAATGCTCCACTGGGTGATTCATCTATGCTACCTGGAGCTGTGGCAAAATTAATGGATGAAGGACTGGATGCTGGTGAAAGGGTGTCTAAAAGAAAAAGGAACACTTCATAAATACTATACTATCAAGATTGATACCATTTCTATACTAAAACCACACCAAAAAATGAGCTTATTCTAAAAAAAATTATGAGTTAATAGTCATTAAGTGAACTAATAATTTGGCCTTAAGTGTTTGAAAAATAATTAATATTTATATTAAAAGTGCAAACACACACAAAATACAGGGTGTATCTTGCTAATTTTGATGAGACATACAATGTCAACAAACAAAAAGCCTCACTGAAATATCTCTTGATAACAAGAACTACAAGGGTGATAATGGTTCTTGAGGATTCAGTAAATAAGCACCACACAAAATAAGAGAAAAGTAAGCTCTTTTTTTTTATTTTCCTACATTCCATTTTTTACTTTAAATTTTTCCAATGTTTATCAATTTGATGTGAACATGACAGGGTTTTTTTATCCCATGGCTTAAAATAAGTAAAAAACTCCAGATTAATATTTCATTTAAATTAAGCAAATTTTCTTAACCATAAAAATGTACATATACTGTCTTCACAAATAACAAATTTGAAACTGAAAAGCAATATTCAACATGTATCTGCTGCTCAATACAAACAGTACAAAATATAAAAAGGGAAAAAAAAATAACAAACCCAACACAGAACCCCCCCATAACTTCAAGTTCATATCCCAATATCCATTCAACCTGTCAGTTGGTCTTTCCAGAAAGGTTATTAACAGCTCATCTTGCCGTTACATCTTCCTCTTGTGCTGTAGTGTTGAGCAGCAGATCTATTGCTATGGTATAACAAGAGACATATTCCTAGCTCACGCCGAGTTATTCCAGTGCCTGAAGATGCACTTAAAAGTCCCACTGACTTTTGAAAAGCTATTTATAGTTTTAAATGATGATCTAAACTGAGGCCTAAAAAGCAATTAGACAAGTTCTCTTTCTAAAGAAGAGATTTTCTCTAAGTGAAAGCATACTGCTTCACATCAGTAGAAAGGGTGAACAGATATTACAGGGAAAGTAACACAAATGTCTGCTTCAAAGATAATCCAGCAGTAGCAGCCTTGCTCAGATATTTTACCTTCTGAGTATAATGCAAAAAACATTTCTGAGTTGTTGCACAATGAAATAAACTCTCCAGACATTTTACTACTAGATGAACGCATTACAAAATTAACACATTCCAACCTTAATTATTTCAATTAATATTTCCACCTTGTTTGAGGAAAATATTTTCTAAGGCCAGAATTTCTTTTATCTTCCATCTTGCAACTTACACCACAAGACTTTAGCAAATTAATGGGTGTGTTATTTTAACAGAAAGATTAAGAAACACTCATGAATGTAGGTCAGCAAGTATTATGTTGGAAAAAACCTTGGCATAGAACTCAGAGTCTGCATCGCCAGCACTGCCAAGCCCACAGGCATCAGAGTCATCAAGAACAGCCTAAAACTCAGGATTTATTTTAGTGTGATTTTAATGTCTTTATACTTGCCTTATGGAATTTGAGCTTTGAAAGTTTACATTTTCAAACTTCTCTAACAGCAAAACTAGAACGTTTTGCAATGAACATGAAATACTCAAATTAGAAGGTGACACTAGAAGCTAACCTAAATTATTGTAGGACTTGTACACACATACACACAAATAATTAAGAAAACTGCAAAGTGTCTATGGACATAGTCTAAGGACTATGTTATCAACCCAGCACATAATGACTTTTCGAGTAGAAGGCATCTCTCTAACGTGAAGGTCTGCAACCAAAAGGGACCCAAATCATATTTATACACACATTCTTTTGGGCAATAGTGCCAAGAGGCAGCTCTCCCTTCTCCTTTCAAAACTCACGCTATTAATTTCAACTACTTTAGCACAGAGGCCCACCTCAGTTGTATCAGCAGTTTTTGTAAGGTAAAATAGTGATCACAGCCTGGGAATTGATTTAAAGTAAGAAACCCCCAAACCAAAACATTCTGATTAACTTTCTGATTGGTTTACATTAAGTGCTTAAAATGGCTCTACTACTGCTAAGAGATTTGTAAACGCACCGTTTCAAAAGGAATACCTTACTGACATGATTGCAGTGTCCCATACCACTTCAACGATTTCCATTTTGATGTCTCAAACAAAGCCTCTCACAAAGATCTTTTGACTAAAGACTGTGTAATGTATTAGCGCTCTGAGACTGTTACTTTAACCAGGGTAGAAGTCATTAGCTGAACAATGCTACTCTTGACAAGGGGGGAGAAAACAGCATGTTCAAAACATCAATACACTAAAATATATTGGAATTCTAGGTGAGCTTTTAAGGATTAGATTATAATTTTTTGGCAAACATTTCACAATACTTTTCAAATATATGTGATTTGAAGAAACCTTTAAAAATGGGGAATTCCTTTAGTGCACTATTGTGACTTCCTATATGACTACAATATATAGTAACTTCTTTGCTAGTAATAGTGATTTTTAAAAGTTCTTTTGAAAAAGGTGTTGATACTAATGATGATTTAAAACAGCAACTTTACGTTACAGTGATTTTCCAGTGACATTTGTCTAATAAATTAACTTTAGCCTTAAATATTTTAAGACAATGCTATAATCACTTTACATATTTCTAGTGTCACTTAGTCATAAACAACAATTATTGCATTAAAAAAGTTTTTAATTTCTATCACTATATACTTACAAAAGAAAGTTTTATGGTAAACCTAAACTGTCTTACCTGTTATAACTGATCCATCAGATCCTGGACCATTTCCCAGTGACTGGAACTCTGTTAAACTTAAAGGTCCAGAGCTATCATCACCTAGAGAATGAGAGAGGTCTTGAATATTCTCCATATCTTGTAGGAACTCTCCAGATAAAGGGCTGCCTATATCATCCTCCTCCAAGGGAGTAAGGGGATAGAGCTGGTTTTCAGTGTCCACCATTTTGATCAAGTAAAGCAGTCACTTAAACTTCTTCACGCTGGTGAAAGAATAATAATAAAAAAAAATAAATTCCTGTACTTACAATTAGAATATTTTTTTAAAAATATCTGAACCAGCTAGACCACACTGAATACATGAATTCTAATCCAATAGTGAAGTATTATACAACATTCTGTTGCTCTAGAAGCTTTACGCAACATGAATCATCAACAGGACAGGGAGAAAAAAAATAATCCCCAAAATACTTCAATATGAATTGAGGTTACGACAAGATCAATCTGTTGATTGTTGTTTTCTCTCTGTTGCTGATAAAAGTTACATATTGTGTCTCTATAGCAGACATTAGGCACTTTCCACCAAAAATTATAGAAAAATATCAAATATCAATATGCATACATATTACATTTGAGCAGTCTTTTCTCATCTTATCTAACAGGCTTAGATATGTTGATTTGGTCCTCTGTTCTCATCTCTTTTAAATTTGTTCGATAGGTCTTATGACACTGCAGAGAACAAAATACTGTCTTATACTAAAATCTTCATGGAAGTGGGCCAAACTAATACTTTTGGACTTATTTCAGCAAGAGTGCTCCAGCATTTACAATCCAATATCTCTGTACAATTCCTAGAGTTAGTTTTATTTCCTACAGTGAGACAAGTTTTAAAGATACTTCAAAACTAGCCACCAGTGTCATCGACTTTGAGTAACAGCACAGATTCCTAAGAAAACATCACAAATTTTAATTCTTCTACTATCAACTTGTCAGGAATTAATAAATGTACTGCAGAATGTTACTACTGCTGCATAAATACTCTGCTAAAAGAAACTCATCTTTTACACAGGGTAACTAACACTTGTGTTATACTCAGTATGTGTACAAACACGTACTGCTGCGGTCTTGTCCATGCAATGAATATTCATAGGCATTTAGAGGAGCTCTGTCTGTTACTGTGGTTACCGCTCAGTGCTGGCTTTTGCAAAGAACACATATTCACTGCAGTTTATTGTGAAGCTTGAAACTGCCAATAACTGGCTACATGGGGATATACAAATGCTGATTTTACAATAAAAGTGCTATGTTATGATAAAAAAAAATCTTCCTTGATGTTATTTAAAGTTTTGAATACCAAGTAGCTTGATTCCTATGATAGTAAATATTTTATATTAAGAAATCAATCCTTTTCTTAGATAATCTGTGACAGATTCATCCTATGAAAATCAGGCATTTATTCTGGAGAAAAAAAGTCTTTTTTTCGGCTATGTAATTGGCCAAAAGGGTACAGTTAAAAGTAATACAAAGTGCTGACTACTGCTTTACATACTAATAACAAAAGACAGCCATCACTTGTATTCAGTTACACAAACAAACCAACCTTCAAAATGTTTTGAAGCGAGATATCTACAATCAAGCCTTTTATCCCCACACTGATGGCAAAAGGCTGCCTTCAATTATATTTCCATAACTTCATAAGGTATTATACAGATGTAACGGAGGGCAGAATGACCTACTCTAAAGAAGGCTAAAAGTTATGCTTGTAACAACCTGCAATGTGCACAGTTTTTAAATTATTGATCTTTCAGGTGCACTTATCAGTGCACACTGCTACTTCTTTCTGCTGTTTCATGAAAAACCAATGGTGCATATATATCACTCCTATAGTGTTTTCCAATGTGTTCATTACATGACTGTAAGTCAAAACAAACAATTAAAAAAAAATCTGTATTACATAAGGCTTTCTATTCCACAATTTGAATCCTTCCAGCTAATCAATGTTATTTAAAGTATATACATTAGACTTGGCAAAACTTTCTTTTGATTTTCAGAGTACCCAAGTTTTTTAATTGTGATACCAAATGGCTGAAGTGGTACATTCTATGTATCCATTCTTCATTTGTAGCCAAGTGAATAGACCTAAAAATGTTAAACCCTCAGGTACAAGGGGAGATTGAAATTGTAGTGTAATCATAAACTCTGATGATTAGAACAAAACCATATGTTTTATATATCCTTAGGAAATTTATTACAGCTCTGTGCACCATTGTACCTGTTTTTGAAAGAAACTATGTTAAGGCTAAAAAAAAAGTCTACTTAAACAGTGTCTAGTTAGATTATGCTTCCTGCAATTCATGAAAATAATACTGTTATAGTATTTAGGTTGTGGAGCAATTTTTCCAACCCAAATACCATTGTTGAGCAAAGATACAGATTTTTTTTTCCCCAGTGCAATAGCTCACCATGTACCTGGAAGGACAGAACTAAAGGTGTAGCGGACACAAAGACATAGCAATATCTAGACCTTGTACTCAATTTTACTCACTTCACACACTGAAATGGAGTTCTTTATGAAACTGAAGATTTCAGAATCTGTCCAGCATAACTGAGATGACAAAGTTTTCAGAAGGTTCATTGTATTTTGACTATTAAAACTAAGCCAAATACAATAGACAGTTCTGAAGGCTGAAGACTGAAAGCAATCACAAATTATAAAATCAGATAATTAGAAATCTGATTCTTATAAACCAAACTAGACAGAATTCCACTCTCCCTTGAGTAGGAAAAAACCCAGATGCCATCACTATTACTAACTGGCCATCTCCTACTACAAGTACCCTTAGTAAAGATCTATTTGCCCAATTTCTTTTAAACAGGATAGGATTAACTAAAAAAGGAAAATATGTTCTATAGCACATGGTGTAGCAAGTAAGAGTATCTAGGAGCCTAAGAATGGGAATTTATCCATGATTTCTAACACCAGTTACAGACAACAGATACGTTACTGTTGATTTTACTTGGATATGTCACACTGCTACTCTATCACTATGCACAGCTTGGCTGTATTTAAAAATAACAGTCAAATTAAGTTTTCCAATTTGATATATTAAATACTCATTAGGACATTGTGCCAGATTGCCAGCACTGTAATAGAATATTTATAAGCAATACAAGAGTTTTCATGCACATCTCAACTTCCTTCTGAAGGGATCAGTTGAAAGGCTGGTGTAGCTTTTATTTTAAGAGCATCCAAGCAATACAGATTGTGATGCCTAGTTATTTTACAATGTAACAGAACATTATATTGGAAACCAAAACAGAATAACTTATTTCACATAGAGGACCGAAGTGTAATTGCTATCAGTTATAGTCCCTACAGATTTTCCATAATCTAAAACTATTTAGTAAAATAAATTCCAATTGTCACTTTCTTTTGAAGCTCAACAGTTGTCCTGTCTCCAAGAATGACCTTCGTTTCTCTTAGAAATCCTACCATCTTGTAAACTGACAAAATATTAAGAAATATCTACGTTTGATACTCATAAGCCTGTCAGAAGACATAAAATAGAAATTAAAATGATTGTAACATACATGACTATAGTTACTGAAGAAAAAAACCAACAACAAACCACCACAGGAATTATGTGAATGAGGACTCTAAATAAAAGACTACTTAAAAATAAAATAATTAGCATAATGCTTTAGGAATGCACGGTTGCACACCAAAGGAAAATGGCACAGATTATTGTAGATTATCTGACAAAGATTTTATTACTAAACCATCTGCATTTATTCAGAGCAATGCTTCCAATCTCATGAAGACTCAAGATGCAGAGTAATTTTGCAGATGTAGAATGCATTTACAAAACATTACTTTCACAAAGTAAGAAAAAGAATCAACTGCAAACATTTCTGGTTAACATCATCTGTTATTCTTTGCCAATAATTTCTATCTTTAATATCTTTGTACAATTTCTTTGCTGAGGCAGCGTGAACCAGCTCAGTAACACCTGGAACTTTGTTGTTAGTTGTCTTAACAGAGTCCAAACCACTACATTATGCACCTGATATCCCTGATACAACTGGAAGATAATATACTTCTGTTGAGAAATGAGAAATCACTTTTACGTATTTTATTTGTGAAAACGAAGTTAAATTGCTATCCCTGTGACATGGCTATTTGGTGGTGAGGGAAAAGAGTAAAGAAACCTAGACATAAACTGGTTTTGTAAAGATAACCGCAAATAACAACTGTTCTCCGACAATCCAAAGGAGACTACCAAATCTGTCTCACTAAAGAGCCATCAACTAAAAAAGGAAGGAAAGAATTGTGGAGCATATGATCAGCACTGCTCCTCCAGTGTGCTCTTCATGACGCTCTCCCAGGGTAAAGAGAGTTATTCACGGCACAGAAACATTATATTCCTCTGCAGATATGTAGCACGAGTACTCTGCCCCAGGATAGCTGGGGAGGTTCCAGGAGGCATTAGGCTCCTTGTACCCATTACTTCAAGTTCCCTACTGAATCACCAACATCTCTCCAAGTGTGACTTCTTTGTCCAGCACAGGTATTTTTAAAATATTAAGTGAACACTGACGTCTACCTTGAAACAAAATAGGCATTATTGACAAGAAAACAAAGGAAAGGCTTGATAGCTGAACTCTGAACATGGCAACAGCTTTCAGCAGCGCGCCTAGTATTGCCCAAATTGCACCGTGTTTTTCCACTTTTACAGTAAATATTTAAAATTCAGCAGTCTTTTTAGCTGAATTTATGTATGAACAACCTAACAGCTAGTGAAACATAAGTTAAGTGCTTATTGTTTTAGCTTTTAAATTACGTACCCTTTTGTACTTTCAAACACTACTAGTAAATTACAGCTGCTAATCATTACAGCTCTTGTCAATGGTTAACTAGCTACTTTAGCAAGCATAGCCATTACATAACCATTTCTGAAGACTGTAAGAATATACTAATATTTTCATTACTGAAAAAGTAATAATTATGTCTTTTTCATAAGCACAGGAAACCTTTAAGTAGAATGTCTAGTATTCATACAATAAACCGTTTGCCTTCTGTCTTCTCTGTATTTTGTGCATGTTTACACAGACGTACGCTTTCATTGGCAGGTTTCATTTAATGCACATTGATCCTTGCTTGTATGAAAATCAAGCTTCCAAAATAAAAAGGGTAATGAGTATGAAGTTCATTTCAGTAGCATTCACAGAGAGTGTTTTGCTTTACAAAAAAAACCTGTGCGTG